ATGCTAAACACATGTTCATATCCCTTCTATCTTTGAAAGGAGATGCTTTCCTTTTTTTTTATTTTAATTTTTAGTTGTAAATGGACACAATACCTTTGTTTTAGTTTTTTTTTTTTTTCTTATGTGGTGCTGGGGATTGAACCCAGCGCCTCATGCATGTTAGGCAAGTGCTCTACCACAACCCCACAACCCCAGCCCAGAAAATGCTTTCTTAATCTCATAAAACCTCTAAGTATTATCGACCTCCTTTACTTTATGGCCAGACATTTTTGGGGTGTGTTCATTAATTGCATCATTCACCTCAGTCAGGTTTCTGTCATACATGCCAACTTGTCTCTGTTCACTAATTTCCTGTCATTTGACTATCATTTAAAAATATTAACTATTCTCTCCTGGAAAATATTCCATTATACCATTCCTTTAAAAGGGTTTCTCTTTTACTTGTTAGGTTCCATGTAGTCTTCTTCTTTTGAGTTTTTCTTTTTCTGTTGATCTCTTAAATTTAGTGTTCCTCAGTCATGTAGTTCTAGTTACCACTTCCTCAGTTTCAACCATTTCTCACAGGCTGATTATTCTCAAGTGATAAATCCAATGTTTTTCTGAATTCCAACTGCCCTGTTAAATATCTTGCCTGGGAACCTCAATTTTTTCTTATCTGTAATAGTACCATTTTCCATTTCTGTTCTCCTGAAACCTCTTTATCCTCAGTATTTCACCTTGGTGAGTCAACAAATCATCTAGTCTCTAGAGACTTTTCTTTCCCTTACTCCCCTTATTCAGTCTTCAAGTCTTGTTGATTCTATAGTGTTAAATGTTCTCAAGTCTGGGCTGGGGTTGTAATTCAGTGGTAGAGCACTTGCCTAGCACATGTGAGGCACTGGGTTCGATCATCAGTACCATATAAAAATAAATAATAAAATAAAGATAGTGTGTCCATCTCCAACTAAAAAATATTTAAAACAATTTTTTTAAGTTCTCAAATCATCCTGTATTCCAACTAATTTATTAGTTTATGATGTTATTATTATGACACCTTTGACTTGGCATATATCATTTGTTCTTCAAGTCATAATTGATCTAATTTCTTTCAAGAAGTCTGTTCTTGAAACAAACCAGTGTGGGTTTGTTACCCGTTCTCTGAGCTCCTATAGCATTCTTTGCATATCTTTTCATAAAACTTATTAAACAGTGTTGTTATAACCTTCTCTGATTCCCTAAGATTGTGACCTTCATACAGGCAGGGATCCTACCTATTTCTTCAGAGTATCCCTAAAGTTAATAATTATGGTGAGAATAGAAATTTACATGTTTCTTGGATGAGTGATTGATTCATAAGAACAGTACACTGTGAAAATGTCATGGACAAAATCATTCCTATCTTTTTTTTTTTTTTTTAAATGGCATGTAGGAAGTTGGTGATGAATTGAAGAAATGTTTTAGATTAGGAATATTTCCAATAAAACATGAAATAACATTTTAGACGGTATTTCTAGTGCCATGAAAACTTTATGGTATATAACAATTTATAGTTTTTAATGAAGTGTCATTTTAAATTTGTAGTCTTTAGACAGTTTTACATCAAACAATGGACCATTTCAGTATTACTTGGGTAGTGATTGCAATCAGCCCTTGGAAAATTCTGGTTTTCCTGAAGATGTCCAAGTATCTCCTGGAAGTGGCAACATTGGGAATATGCAGGTGGTAACAGTTGAAGGAAAAGGTGAAGTAAAGCATGGAGGAGAAGATGGCAGAAGTAACAGTGGAGCACCACACCGTGAGAAGCGAGGCGGAGAAAATGAGGAATTCTCTAATGTCAGAAGAGGGAGAGGTGTGTATTTTCTTTTCTTCTTCCTCACTATAAACTAATTGGTAAAATGGGAAAGTTCTAAACAACAGAAGCATTAGTATGTTTAGTATGCAAAGGTTATCGTAAAGCTGAAAGTTAATAACATCTTCAGTTTTTCTTTGTCTAGTTTTCCCCTTTGACACTGGGCATAATGTGTCATCTCTGAAAGCATCAGAGAAAACATTTCTGTTTCTAAAATTTTAATGCAATTTTTTTGTAACCAAATTTATGTTCTATTTCCCCCTGAATAATCACTTTTCCAGCTGTGCTGATGCTTCTTCCCCAGGTAGAAATCTGAGTTCTTTATCTTTTCCACATTTTTCCACTTAGGACAAAAGAGATCATTTAAAGCTGACAAGTTAAATAACAGGTATGAAAGAACATTTAACAACGTAAAGATAAATCTTTAGAATAGTGATGTCATCAGGTAACAGAATAGAGTTGAATGGAGAAGAAAAATAAATATGCTCATTATATTGTTTCTGGTAAGGGCTGGGGTTATGGCTGAGTGGTAGAGCACTCACCTAGCATGTGTGAGGCCCTGGGTTTGATTCTCAGCACCACATAAAGATAAATACTTTCCATCGACCCTTAAAAAATATTTTTAAAAAATTGTTCTGGTAAGAAATAAATAGATGTTGTGAAAAAAGAATTAAAGATATTATAGAAACTTATGGTTTAGGACTAGGATTGTAGGTCAATGGTAAAGATGTATTTTGTATGCATGAGGTCTTGTGTTTAATCCTTGCCACAAAAAAAAAAAAGGAAAAGAAAATAAATAATAGTTTTAAAATAACCACTTGAGCAAAATACAAATGCTCATCAATTTACAGTGGAGCTACGTCCCACTAAGCCCATTGTGAAAACATAACTTGAATATGCATTTAATACTTTTAATTTATTGAGCAGTGTAGCTTTGCCCAGCCTACAGTGTACTCAGAACACTTACATTAGTTATAGATGGGCAAAATCATCTAATGTAAAGCCTACTTTATAAAAAAGCATTGATTATTTCATGTACTTCATTGGATCCGATACTGAAAGTGAAAAACAAGTGACTGTATGGGTACATTTTTACACCATCGTAATGTTGAAAAAAAAGTAGAATCTATGCATTCAGTAGAAACCTTCAAATTTAGAATTTTGATCTTTTCCTAGGCTAGCACTATGTAGTAAGGTACTTTTTAAAGATGCTGAGCAATAGTTGCAAGCCTTAACCCCCAGTCATTCATGCAGTCAAGAGGATAAATAATGGATCCTCTGTGATGTGCTGCTAAGCTATGATGTTTGGTAGATTAGACATATTAAATGCATTTTCAACTTACAAGACTTTCAAATTATAAAACTTTTAACTTACAAGACTTTCAACTTACAATGGGTTTATTGAGATATAACCCTAATATAAGTGAAAGAGTACTTATACAAACCTTCCTAATTTATCAGAAAAAAAAAATGGCACACATTTTTTTAAAAAGTAACAAAAGAAAATTACATAGAAAAATAATTTTTACCCCCCCCAAACAATGTGTGATAAAAAAGATCTTAGAGCAAATTTATTTGAAATAGCAATAAAAGTAAACAGGCTAAAAGTTAGGGATATAGCTCAGTGCTAGTGTGCTTGCCCTAGTATGCTTGTGAGGCCCTGAGTTTAATCCTCAGCTCTGCAAAATGTAAAGTAAACAGGCTGTACTCACCTGTTTAAAGTAGGTATTCCTTGGTTGGCAAAGCAAAACATAACTTTAATGTTATAGTCTACAAGAGGTAGAATATTCTTTTTTATTTTTAGTTGGACACAATATCTTTATTTTTATGTGGTGCTGTGGATCAAACCCAGTGCCTTACACGTGTAAGGTGAGTGCTCTACCACTGACCTATAGCCCCAGCCCAAGAGGTAGACTATTCTAAAAAGTAGAAAATAAAAATAAAAGGATATTGCAATGGTAGCTCATGTATGCAAATTTAAAGGCAAGGTTTTAAATTTTGATATCAGGGAAGATTATTGTCAGGCCAAAAAGCATCAAGACAAAGAAGGCCAAAATGGGTGTGGTAGTACATGGCTGCAGTCCTAGCCATACAGGAGGTTGAGGCAAGAGAATCAAACTTGAGTCCAGAAGTTTGAGGCCAGCCTGGATAACAGAAAGACCCGGTTTCAAAAACTTGCACAAAAACAAAGACATCCTTTTATGATATTTAAGTGTGATATAAAGAGGTAGAATTATGTACTTATTTATTTATTTGTAGTGGGGATTAAACCCATAGTGGCTTTATCACTGAGCTATATGCCCAGCCCTTTTTCTTTTTTATTTTGAGGCAGGTCTCACTAAGTTGTTTAGGGCCTCACTAGTTTGTTGAGGCCAGCCTGGAGCTTGGCATTTTCCTTCCTCAGCCTCCTGAGTGGCTGGGATAACAGGCATGTACCACTGCGTCCGATTACGCAACTCTTTACACTAAAAAAAAAAAAGTATGCGTAAAATCCTGAGGTTGGACAGATTTATAGGTTTTTATGTTGGACCAAATGTAGAAAGTGCAGGACTGTCAATGATAGTCTTTCTTTCTTTTTGTTTTGATAGCAAACCACACTTTTCATTTTTTATTGATGACAGAGACCTCTTTTTATTTACTTATTTACTTTTATTTGAGATGGGGGTCTCATATACCTTCCCTTGAACTCCTAGGCTCAAGTGATCTTCCTGTCTCAATCTCCCCGATAACTGGAACTATAGATGCAAGCCACTGTGCTTGAACCAAGGCTTTTCATTTTTTATGACTGTTTTTCTTTTTTCACTATTTAAATCTTTTCTCTGAACAATATTTTCTCTTTTAATGTGTGTGTGGGGGGGTACTGGGGCTTGAAGCTGGGGGTGCTCTACCACTGAGCTATATCCTCAGCCCCTCTTTTTAATTTATGAT